AAAATCTGTAAATTAAAATGATTAAAATTTAAAAATAGAAATAGTTAAAAATCTGTAAATTAAAATGATTAAAATTTAAAAATAGAAATAGTTAAAAATCTGTAAATTAAAATGATTAAAATTTAAAAATAGAAATAGTTAAAAATCTACAAATTAAAATGATTAAAATTAAATAAAATAATTAAGAAATCTGCAAATTAAAATGATTAAAATTTAAAAATAGAATGATTAAAAATCTGTAAATTAAAATGATTGAACCCTTGCGCCAAAAATGTAAAAAAATCAAAAAAAAAAATTGAGAATTCACACAAACGAAAGAAATATCAAATTCTTCATTAAAATTCGCAAATTCACAAAATTCATAATTTCGCATTAATTAAAATAATCATTAATAAAATCACTAAAATTCGCTTAAAATTAGCAAAGAACAAATAAAAACAAATATTTACTATACCGCAAATAAATCCTCATAAATTGTTCTTTAAATAAAAATGGTTAGATATCAATGCCAAATTTGTAAAAGAGAATTTTCAACTTACGGCGGTTTAAAACAACATGCCAATGCTAAACATCATGGGAAAATGAGATCCTCCCAACTAAATGAGTCACCAGTACAGCAAAGATCTTTTTTGCAGCCATTAAGAGAAATGATAAGATCAGAACATGATGCAGAACTTTGGAGCACGTCAATTATTATGCCAAATCCAACTACTTCGCAAGAAAAGCTTACATCACAGGATGATGATTATGAGATGAAGCAATTTGAACCTTCATCTCAAGATGAAGACTTAGTAAATATTGCAGATGAGTTAGAAGATAAACCACATTATCATTTGCGAAAAAGGTTATGGTCAGAAGAGAGGGTCGAAGCAAATTTTGAAGAATCGGAAGCAGAATCAGAATTAGTAAACTTTGAAGATACTGAATTCATTGATCCTGAAGACCTTTAGGATGCATCATTAGATGATGCCATAGATGTAGTTGATGGAAAACCCACACCAGAGCGCGTAGTAAAATGGCCGAATGATGCATATCGCGACTTTTTGGAGTTGATAGTAGAGGGTAATATCTCTAATAAGATAGGTGATAAAATAATAAAGTTTTTCAACAAACTTAGTAATTTAGACAAATCACCATTGCCTAGTTCAACGAAAAATGGCAAGGATTATCTTAATCAAATAAATTCACTTTTGATAGACTTTAAAGAAAAGGTTGTTGCGACCTATAATGAAATTAATTTTACCCTCTACTATCGCCCACTTTTTCGTGCTATTCAAGCTTTTCTGCAACGATCGGAAGTAACCAATAACTTCGTCCATAAAAAAATCCAAAATAAAATGAAGGTCTGTATAATAATTTGATTTTCGTCTGCAATGATAAATTACATTATTTATGCTTATTTAGTTGTTTATATTCTCAGAATGATAGAGGTGAAACAAGAATATTTGGCGAACCTTTCGAAGGTAACTGGTGGTTAGAAACTGAAAAGAACCTTCCATCATTAAATCGACTATTGTCCATCATCTTATACTCAGACGCAACAACTTTCGATGGACTTGAGAAATCATCAGGCCATCCAGTTTTTTTAACTCTTGGTAACATTCCAAATCATGTTCGAAATTTGCCGGAGGCTAAAATTCTTTTAGGATTTCTCTCTAAAGTCCAAGATACAGGAATCAAAACAACAGAAAGTTTTCGAAGCTTACAGCGCGATGTATATCATAAATGCTTCAAAATTATGCTCCAACCTTTATTAGAAAAATCTGAAGCGCTATATTTTGGAATTAATGGACAAGTGATTACTTTCGCTGCACGGATATCTTTTTTTCTCGCNCGATGTATATCATAAATGCTTCAAAATTATGCTCCAACCTTTATTAGAAAAATCTGAAGCGCTATATTTTGGAATTAATGGACAAGTGATTACTTTCGCTGCACGGATATCTTTTTTTTCTCGCAGATATGCTTGAAGCTGATGATATAACTGCGACATATAAAGGAGCGCGGTGCAAAATGCCATGTCATACTTGCATAGTTTTGCAAAGTGATCTGAACAATATGAGTCTTAAACTAGAGAACGTACCTCATAGAACTCATGAAAATATGAAGCAAGTAATCAACGATGGCCAAGGAAAGGAGTATTCTGTGCATTCTGTTGAAAATTCCTTCTGGAAATTTCCGTAAATATCTTTATATTTCTGTAATTAATTTCAAAGATGTAAATTTTTACGCACGTATAATTTGTTTCAGAAATTTGAATATATACGAAGCCTGCGTTCCTGACCGTATGCACCATATCGATCTTGGACTCTTCAAATACCAATTGGAATTTACACAAGATATTTTGAAGGCAGTCGGAGGAACAGAACTACAAAAAAAATTTGATGATCTACTTCGTCATATTTCTCGCTTTCTGGGTCTTAAACTCTTACATAAATTAGGACATTTAAACGTACTTACTGCGTCAGACTATCGTAACATAATGAAAATTGCATTTTTTGCCTTAGATGAAATTTTTGAAGGGAACAAAATAATCTGTAAAGAACTTTGCGAACTTTACGCAAAGTTCAGTAAGATGTACATAATGAGCAGGAAAGAAATGTACACTGAAGAAGATCTGAAAATTTTTGAAGTAAGTCAAAGTTCATAAAGTCACATTGAAAATCATCAACACACTAAAGATTATCAATTATAGTCAGCAATTATTGATTGGTGCATTGATTTCAAAAAGATCTTCTCTCCATTGTCCACTACTAACTGCAATTTTCCGAAGTTATACAGTTGGCGGTATCACGCAGGTAGGACGCTAGTAAACATACAGTATATGATTTTATCCTAATTTATTTTGATTGTTTTCAGTGCCTGCTATTAGAAAATATGGTGCATTGAATGGGTTGTTAACGGAAACGTACGAAACCCTCCACAAATCATATGTCAAAACCCCATATCGGTTATCAAACAGAAAGACGTAATGAGACAATTGGTGAACGCTGTTAGTTGAATCCGACATGACTGAAATCAATTTCTTTAAAATATACATACATTTAATAATATTTTTTATAGGTAAAACACAAAGAATTGACATCTTCTGCTAAAAAAGTTATTCATCGTAAAGCCAAAGGATTTGAAAAAGTACTTTGGGAACTAACATTAGATAATATCGTCCAAAAAATAAAATCGTTGAAAAAATCTGAAAATCCACCACATTCAAACTTCATTGAAGGGTTATCGCAATTAATTTCAACTTTAGATACCTTTCTGGACACATCTTCGCAGGAGTCCGAAAGTGACGAATTTTACATTAAAATTTATGATTCAGTACACCTGGAAGATAGACATATTTTAAGAATGACAGGAGAATTCCAAAGTAAAAAATGGTTCGGTAATATTGCGGTAACTCCTGCGGAAGATCAAGAGCAATACAATTCGGATGAGGGAGCTTGGTATGGAAAAGTAAGTGAATGATTAAGATTGATAAAGTGTTGTATGTCATTAATCAATTTTCTTTATAAGGTGTTGTTATTATTTAAATTCTTCCGAGGTTCTTTCAAAGAGCCATATGAACTTGCTCTGGTTCGTTGGTTTGATATTATTACAGAGGAACCTGAACTGTACGGGTGTCCGCAGTTGTATTACACCAAAGAATACAACACAATACCAATCGGTTCAATTAACCAAGAAGTTCATATAGTTCCAAGGTTTGGCAAAGTAAATCGTTATTTGTTAAATAAATACATGTTTTAAAAATTACTGGAAAACTTTAACGAAAGTAAAGTCAGAAAGTTTAAAAAATAAAATTTGTAAATTTGTTGAAAAACTTTAACGAAAGTATTAAAAAAAACTATTAAAAAACTTTAGCGAAAATAAATTGTCAACGGAAATGATCGAAAAGCTTAATTAAGCTTAATTACTAATTGAAATCGAAAAGTTTAATTAGTTAGTTACTCAAAGTTTAAACGCAATTATAAACCCGCAATTTTGAGTCTGTCTCTTATACACATCTAGATGTGTATAAGAGACAGCATCAGGCCATCTTCGCAAAATATCAATATTTTCATTTGATATAGAATTTGGATTAAAATCAAATATATAATCTAATAAATTAATTATTAATTATACATAATTACAAAAAAAAAATTTATTAGTTTACGCTTTATAGTACCTGACGCTGATGTCTTTTCCTTTTGGATTTGTATACCTTGTCTAATAATTTTATCCCGATAAGCAACACGTTGTTGAATTTTAAAAAATTCATAAAAGGAAAAATCATTTGTTATTTGGCGTGATATGCCAAATAGATGTTCTATAGCTTCAGTACCGTGTTCCCAAGGATATAAAGGATATAATGAATAAAATTCACAGTGAGATATAATTAAAAGTATTAATGATTCTGCTAAACTAGTAAAAATTTTAAAACTTTGTGGAGAAATAAAGTTTTTAGAAATAGAAAATATTGAACTATATAATTGATTAGCACTTCTATGTATTCAGCCCACATATTTAAAAAAAAGTATCCACACATAGCCATAATAATTCATTCTTTATGAAAAATATTACGATTCAAATATGAATCAAAGAGATCTCCTATTTAAATTAAATAGTTTATTAAATATAATATAGATATAAAATATTGTATCAATTTATTTAACAATTATTATTTTACACACCTAATACAAACAAATAGACAAATAAAGATTGCATTTCGTTGTTTTCCAGCTCATTTTGATACATTTGTTCTAATACATCTGAATGAAATAATCTATACGCGGCACCATCATCTTGTTTATCAACATTGACGACATCTCGAATATAAATTGCATGATTTTTAGCTTGAGCAAGAGTTAAAAGATGCCGATAAAGCATTACATTATTTCCAAGAACAAGTAGTTTTGCACCTGAATGAAGCTGATTGCGAGCTGTCTTCTTAGCATGTTTAGGATCTTGTACGGTTATAATGGGTAAATTTTGGTATATTGGCATCTGCACATATTAATTTAATTAATTTTAGTTTTTTTTTAAAACAAAATACATAAATATATTATATTTTAATTACCTTAAAATGTACATTATAATAATTATCATGGAATTCAAAAAAACTCTCAGCCTTTTCACAATTCATTATTAATCGTTGCGCATTAAATTCAGCAGGAGCACCATCTGATCCTAAACTAACTAGATTAATACTTGCATCTCGTGACATAATTAATACATTCATTAAAAGATCATATATTTTCGTAGCATTTGATTCTCCATTTGTTGGCAACATAGCAATTACAAGAGGTGGAATTTTTTCGATTGGAATCTAAAAATATAAACAAATACTTTTATTAACTTTTATTTATAAGTAAATATTCAAATATAAAAGTTATAATTAATTTATACCTTTAGTACCACTACCCTAACTTGAGTTGCGATAGCTTTTTTTTGCTTTATAATATTCACAATTTTATGTATATCATCATATGTTTGAACTGAAGTTTCTGATAATTTTAAAGTTGACCCTATAACGCAACCTAATTCATCTGAATATGTAAGTTTAGGCCGAATTTTTGTACAATCTGTCATCCCAACAATAGGTCCGTTCCAATTAAGTGCTCTAGTTAGCCGGGCAACTTTAAGTATATTTTCATATACTAACTCTGGATTAGATACAATATCACTTTTTTTTGCTCGCATATATCTTATAGATCTAATGCTCATTCCTGCAAACATTTGTCTAAAGATTTCATATTCACAGCTACTATCTGATAATAAACAAAAAAATTGTTTTAAATATTCAGAGTAACGAAGACCTGTCATTTTTTTATCCTGTAATTTCTTTTCTTGTATTTGTATCATTAATGATGCTAATTCTTGAAATGTTTTTTCTCCTTTAAATAATCCATCTTTTCCAAATTGAGCCAACTTAAACCATATTTCTGCGTCACTATCACTATTATCAGCTGATACCCATAATGATTTAAGATTTGTATTAAGTAGTAATTTACTTAAAGGATGTTCAAGATACCATTTTGGAATAAAGCGAATATTTTTTCCAGTTGCTCGTTGCTAAAAAATAAACATAAAAAATTAGATAAAATTTTTAAATGAAATACAGATAATTTAAATACATACCTTCTTCGTTGCTTGATTTAAGCGACTATTTTTTCTTAATTTGTCACATTCGTCACAAATACTCGATTCTCTAGTTGTAAAATTTTCACACGTTTTACTTCTAACAGAAAGAGTAGTTTTATCTAATATCCATAGTATAGCATGTGCACGTAAATAATTTTTAAGATCAGCACATCTCATTTTACCAAGACTTTTTAGTTTAAGATTTGCTTTAACAATTTCTGGAAATAACTCTTTTGCGGCTATATCAGGTCTGATTGATCCTCCAAATTCAGCTGGACTATTAAGCACATATTCTCGATATTTATCCTCAAATAATCCCTTACATGCAACATTTTTGACAATTATATTTTCCTCTTCAACTCTAATTTTTTTAGGTTTAAAAAAAACTTTAATACTTTGCTGTCCTTCGTTACTATACTTACAATTACTCAATTCACCATGCGTTGTAAGATTTTATCTCTAAATTTTTGATCTAAACGGATTTCTTTACCACATTTACAACAGACCAATTCTGGTGTTATCTCTTCCATAAAATATTTATTAGCGTGTAATTTATTCCGTAATTTATCTATGTCTGTTTGCAATATGATTTTTTTACTACGTTTTCTCTTTCTTTTCTGTAAATTAATATCTATATCATCAACTATAACATTATCTTCAACATCTTCAACATCTTCAATATCTTCAACCATAATATCATCATCAACTATAACATCATCTTCACCTTCAATTATAATATCGTTTTTTTTATCATCAACTATAGCATCATTATCTTTTCTCATTTTTTCATTAATTATCACTTCATTTTGTTCCGTATTTATTTCATCTAACTTTTCAACTAAATCATATCCTAAAAAATCAAAATCATCAGAATCATATTCATTATCGGGTAAAAAATATTCTAAACTTGGAAAAGTAGAACTATTTTTGGAACTTTCGGCTTGCATTTTTTTAAAATAAAATCAAAAAAAAAAAATTTTTTTCAATCATTTTTAACGTTTATATGATTTTTTTTTTTTTTTTTTTTTAAAA